TACGGGGTGTGCATTTCACATTCCAATCAGACAACCAGTCGTTGGCACTGTTTGCGCTTTAGACGCAGAAGCAAGGCGGAGAAACGAGCTGGAAAAGTTACGCGAATTCGACTGCATTCCCATTTTTTCCGCTTCACTGATGTTAAAAGGACAACATCACGTTAGGGTGCTTTGAGATGTCAATGCGCTTTCTGATTGGCTAGAATGGTTTCCCACATTCCTGCCTGCTTTCAACCATGCCGCAGTTTAGCCGTTCAATCGATTTGGACACAGTGTCTAACTATAAAATCACCTACCATATGTTTAACATGCATATATCCGCAATCATAATTAAAATACGCTCGCTATTTTCACTTTGGAATTGGAAGTGTACACAGTTCAGCATAGAGCTTGCACTGAAACTCACAGAATATCAGTTTTCAAAGAAATTTAGCATAAAACACTGTTTGTATTTACTTATACGATTATTAAGAAAATTTTGTCTTTACCGACGTATGTCAAGCTTTTATAATGGCACTTTTTCATGGACTTGTATTTGGCGAGTAAACACTATGCGGGAGGTATTGTATTTACCTTTTATTTAAATGCATTAATTATATGTTATCATAGGTGGAAGTGATGATAATAGTTCGACAATCGACTTCGATTAAGTCCACCACGTGCTCCAAAAAGTTGGTGCAGGGAAGGACACTGTAGTCAGGTATAAGATTTATGTGAATGTAGACGCGCAACCGTCTACCGCACAGTACACCCTCAACCCGCTTGAACCGGTGACAAGCAAAGTCGAGATGACCGAACAGGACCAGACATAGGCCTCTTTCGTCAATGCACTCCTGAGCATCACCCAACATAGTCTTAAGTAAAAGAGGACTTTTGCGCTTGTACTACCGCACTACATACCCTCACTCGCCGTCAGCAGGTGACAAGGAAACCGAAACTGATACTGCTACAACAACAGCAACTACTACTGCTATTTCTACTAATACTAACTAGCAATGCGGCTGAGTGTTAGTAGTACTACTACCACTATTAGTATCTGCGCATGACTATGCCACCATCACCTATGATTAAGGATTCCTGACGGAACCCGAAAGATCAGGAAAATAAAACTCTTGTTCCAGTGATCGCATCCTCTTCTTGTGACCAGACGCTTATATTACGCGGACATAAATTATTGACAATGACAAGGGAGACGAAACTTGCCATTTATGGCTTATTAGCTGTCATCAACCAAATATAACCAACCCCAAGGTTGGCTACCCCGGAGGTTCAAACCCGAGACGTTGTTCGTTAGAAGTCTGGAACTCATTCCACTTTACCTTGTCGTTCGCTTTACAGGATCAGCAGAGAGCGCTCAACGGCTAGCATAACCGTCAAATACCAGGGAGACTGGAATGGACATTCCTGACTTATTAGGTGTCATCACCCAATCATACCCAACCTAGATAGTGCAACACCCGAGGTTCAAACCCACGCGCCTGTTAGCTAAGACTCCAGCGCTTTAACCACTGTAACACGGGCTCGCTGCCTTGCTGGTTCGTCCAATATGCCTAGCCGGGTATGGCAAAACGGTACAAAAGAATTGCGATACCGATCACTGAGCGCCTATCCACCATTATTTGTTATCTACGCCCATTTAACGGGTTTCGCTTCATAAAACTTTCGTCAAAAACAATTTACTTATAAATTTATTTA